TGAACCCTTTCTCTCTGTATTTCTCTAAAGAGTTTCTTCATACAATGAGCTCACTTGATTTTGTGCCCCCAAGAGCTTTTAAAGAGGCCATTATTGTCATTGGGCCAATATCAGTGTCTGTCATTAATCACCGTCTCTCTACTGGCATTGTTCCTGATTTACTTTTAATTGGCCTGTTAAACCCCCTCTCACAAAGCATCATTTCCTGCAGATCTGAGTGTATTATTGAATTACAGACCCGTCTCTAAGCTCCTCTTCGTATCAGAGAGTTTAGAAAAGACAGTTTTAAGCAGCTGCTGGATGTAATGACGAAAGACTGGAATATCTGACAAACTGTATTCTGGTTTTGGCCTCATACAACACCCAAACATCGTGCACCGTATTTATGAACATATTTTAAAAGCTGATAGTTTTGCCTTTCAGGTACATGCAAAATATTGTTTTACAGAACCAGGTCTAGTCCTGCTCTTTAACCCTCTGATGCATGAATTATGAGATCTTCAGCCGTGATTTTTTAAACAATTTTTTTCATCCATCTTTAGGTGTGAATGAAACAAATTTCAACAAATATTTTTTGTAACATTTTGTTAATTTACAAATAATTTATTACATGTCCATCTCAGTGGACAACGTGCATTCTGAACATGAAATATGGTGGCTTGACTTACTTAAGTCCAAATGGAGGGGCTCACATGCAATAAAGTCTTCAAAAGCTGTGCTTAATAGCAAAAATAAAGTAATAACAATTTTGAGTACCTGTCCACTGTAGTGACCATTATGCATCAAAGGGTTAAGCCTCTGCTGGGTCTGGGACGGAGCGGGGTGGGCTATCGTCTGTCAGCGTAGACTGGTATGGGTCTGCAATTTCAGTAGAGCATTTCCATCACAGTTTGGGCTCTCCTGTAGGCAGGCGAGGTTGAATGGACCATCATGTATCATGCACAAGATGTGCAACTATTCAGTGTTTTTGTGCTGCAATGAATGGTCTTAGCTAGAGCTAAAGACAAAGAAGAAATGCTTACAACAGGCTCCACAAGTGAGTCCAGAGTGCGGTCGCTGAGTCCAGGCCAGCCTCGTTGCCTCGGTTTTATGGTCTGTGGCTATAAATAGCATCCAGTGTGTTGTGTCTTTCTCGCATTTCCACTCCGCCTGTTTCTATACTCATCTTTTCTATTTTGGGCGTTTTGTCTCAGCTTGGCCCGACACGTTTCCGACGTCCACTCGAATCCTTCAGCTTCCATCCGCTGAGAAACTTCTTTACAACTTGCATTCCTTAGCGATTGGTCTAGCTCGCTCTGAGTTTGGACTCTCATGATGATGGTGGGGAAAGCATGGAGCTCTGAAGTTGACCAAACCATGCTGCTACTTACTGGTATTTTCTCACATCTCTGTACATATAATGAAAATGCAAATAATGGAACTCCAAGGTTTGTTTTGGTTGTTGCAAGCTGTGGCATATTTCTGTCCCCCAAACGTTCCGCCCTAACCGTACCACTCCACAGACATGTGGGCCTACAACAGCAGGGGGCCATGAAAGACCTGTCAGTGGTGCGGTCCGGGCTGGTTATGTGGACTGGTTTTACAATCGGTCCGCCCTGTCCCGAACTCCGCAGTCGATCCGAGCTATTAGGTAGAAGAACCTTGGATTATTTCTGGTGTGGTCTGGCATTAGCAGAAGTTAAAATCAAACAAAACTAACTCATAGGTGAGTCCATGTTGTGGGAGCCAGGACAGGCCCTAATGTAACAGCTGGGGTAATGCTGTAACGCCGCCCTTCTGGCACCTCTGATCGATGGGATTCCTTAGGGGTCTGTCCTTGGAACCATTTCATTTTTTATATGTTCCCTCTGGGCCATCTGCTATTAAAATGATGATGTGTTTCACCAGTACGCCTATGATACACGGATATATTCATAGCTCCCCACACTGACTTCCATTAACATTTAGGACTAACCTGCATTATTTTAGTGTTGTGAACTTGTAATCATCAAATTTGTTTGTAATCTTAAATGGTGATTTTTGACCAAGGCATTTTTTATACTCAGCTCTTGATCTCTTGTTGAACAAATGCCCACGAAATCAAAGAGATAAACAATAACTGGGTGACGGTGGCACAGGAGTTAAGTGCTTGTCCCATAATTGGAAGGTTGCAGGTTCGAGCCCCGCTCAGTTTTTCATTGCTATTGTGACCTTGGGCAAGCCACTTAACCCCACTTGCCTGCAGTGGCAGTTGGAGGGACCGCTGGCATCAGTGCTCGGCAGCCTTGCCTCTGTCAGTGCGCCCCAGGGCAGCTGTGGCTACACTGTAGCTCATCCCCACCAGCGTGTGAATGTGTGTGTTACTGGGTGAATGACTCATTATGTTGTAAAGCGCCTTGGGGAATTCCAGGACTCTAGAAGGTGCTATATCAAATACAGGCCATTTACCATTTATAACTGCACTGTGTTCCTCTATTGAACCTCTTGGTTTTTTACTGCCTTTGTATTGCATGTAGTTTGATAATATGTTCGATATAACAAATAAAACAAAATTATGCTTATTATTTATGAAGTTACCAACTGAAACACTATACTGGCAGATTAATCTTGTATCAGTACCAGAAACAAGAAACATTTACTGGAAACAACCCAAGTTTCAAACCTGGTTTTTACTTTTTTTTGTCAAACATTTTAAAACCAGTACTGTAAAAAGTGCAATATAAATCAAAATGTACACATTTAGATTAGTGCTGTGAAAAATAACGCGTTAATTTAGTTAATTAATGTGAAATGTTTAATGCATTAAAAAGATTTACGTAATGAATGCAGTTTTTAAAATTTTACATAATCCGACACCTCAAACTCGTGAGCGGCTCTGAAGGAGGGGGCAGCATTGCGCTATGCAGGTGTCTGACCTGCTGGAAATGATTAGAAGCAGCAGCAGCAGAAAAAGAGGAGAGGACAAGCTTGCTAGCATGCTAGCATGGACAATGCTGTCCATGGAGCGCTGTCTAGATCGGTACAAAGCAGAGCCCAAACCTGATATTGGAGACTGTCCATTACAGTGGTGGTTGAAGAGAGAAGAAGCACATTCCAGACTAGCACCTGTTGCATGCAAGTACCTGTCAACCCCTGCAACCACAGTGCCTTGTGAGAGATTATTCTCACTCTCAGGTCACATCGTTGGTGTGCTCCAGGCTGCTGCTTCCAGCGCATGGTCCATTCTCAAAGAGGCGCAACCAAAAAACTATAATTAACCCACGATCGTTCATGTCCACACATGTTCTCTACTTTCTGTCTTATTTGTGCCTGAAGCGCTCTGCTACTGTAGAGCTCATCACCTGTGCTGCGGTGATTTCACCTCACTGACGCAGCAACGAAACACGCTCTCCGCTTTACGGTCAGGAGATCCGCTTTGATCTGCTCAAAAGTAACCGATGAGGTGAAAAAGTAAAAATCCAGGCAACAGATTTTCTGGAGAGTTTAGAGGAGATGCAGGAAGATGAGAGACAGACAGGACAGGAAAATAGTTAAATAAAAACAGGGAAACAAAACAAAGTGTTGAAAAGTAAAATGTAGGTAGATTTATCTCCACTACACGTTTTTACCTGTATAAAACAATAAGTTACACACATGTAATATTTATACATCTGATACAATTCAGGTCACCTTCAAAACTCAGTCACACACCCAGGGCCGTTTCAAGGCATTCTGGGGGCCAAGGCAAAACAGAACACCCCCCACCCCATAACTGGGCTCCCCAGAAGCCTCTGTGTAATCCAAACCCTGTCCAGGAGTGTTAGTTATACAGATTTTTGTAAAAGCCCCTCAGACATTACGGACATGTTCTAATATTATCAGATGAAAAACTAAATTATCAGACATGCTGTCTCATCTGCTGCTTTTCTAAACTTCCAAAAAGTAACAAAACCATTTGAAAGCCACTATTTGTGGATTCTCTGAAAGTTTCCATGGAGTGTGTGACAACTTATTTTTTCATTGAGAAATTTAAAGTTGGAAAAAAGTGTAAGAGCAGCCAGGCTAATGATCAGATAAATTGCCATTAATCACAATTAATTACAGAAAATTGTGCGATTAATTAGTTAATTTTTTTTTTATCGACTGACAGCCCCAATTTAGATATAAACTAGAAACACTGAATGATCACATTCAAATAATGTGTGTTATTCTACATGAGTAAACAGTTTTTTGAGAATAATTAGACCATATTAATTGCATACAACTTATAAAAGAGTACTCCAGTAAGAGAGATGCGTTTTACTAATGGATTGGTATCCATAGAGTTTAGACTTTGACCTCATTAATTATCTTTGCAAAAGTTTCACAACACATAAATATTAGAAACTATTGGACAAAAATAATAGAGATGTGGATGGAAGCAGTTCAAAGTCATTGCTAATTTGTGAGATGATAATTTGCCAACATGATCTGTGAGTCTGTGACTTCTTTATCCGGAAGGTCTGCGCAGGAGACTAAATGTACAGCTTTTGCATTATTCCACTCAGTTTTTCGTTCATCGGGCCCAGCGGTACCTAAATAGATTTTAATTTGATGGTTCAGTGATGAACATGATTTCCCCTTTAGGGGGCCGAAAACCATCAGACCCAACAAGGATGCGGCGTTAAGCTGTACACATCACTTTTTATGTATGGGGCATACTTTTGGTATCAGCGAAGCAATTTTCAGATGTTATGATATTCCTTCCCCTCTTGCAGCCTCCTCCAGCTGAAGGGGAATGAGGCCCTGTGGTGCAGGCGGGGATATAAATAGGGCATGGTTTTATTTCACTCTCATAAACATGTAGATTGATTAGGGTCATTTTCTGCTAGCCTGCCTCCATCCACCCAAGCCTTTCCCTCCATTAGTGATGAAAACCTAGATTTATTGCCACGTCTGTCACTTCTACACCATAACTCACAACCCCACTGCCAGGCTGTTTTTATGTAGATGAGCTTTGGGGGGAGAAGGCATATTAAAGGCTTGTGTCTGTGTGTCCACAGGAGCGCATACAGGTTGCCAACGAGGTTTTGTCAATCAGTCGCCTGACCCTCTCCGACACAGGAATGTACCAATGTGTTGCTGGGAATAAGCACGGAGAGGTCTACTCTAATGCAGAGCTCCGAGTAATTGGTAAGGTTCAGTGTGTGTGTGTGTGTGTGTGTGTGTGTGTGTGTGTGTGTGTGTGTGTGTGTGTGTGTGTGTGTGTGTGTGTGTGTGTGTGTGTGTGTGTGTGTGTGTGTGTGTGTGTGTGTGTGTGTGTGTGTGTGTGTGTGTGTGTGTGTGCTTGCTTGCTAGAGAACAAAGACTTGAGCAACAATACATCTGATTTTAAGTTGACCTTGTCTTCTCCCCACAGCTCAGTGCTGTCATATAACCTCCTGCCTCTTTCTTATTGGCCGCTAATTGACAAACATTAATTATTAAATGAACGTCTCCGGCTGACAGTGATGTATTCCAGAGCGGTTCTTGTTCGTGAGACGCACCCATCTGCCTTGTCTGGACTGTCATTCACCATTCAAACCGTTCACGTCCGGATCATGGTGCTGACTGAAACCAGGCCCAACATAGCCCAACTCAAGATGCAGCTCCAAGAGGAGACGTCTCGTCAGACTGCTGGGCAGCTTCTGAAAAGGGCACAAACTTTTATCGTCAGAAGAATTGCTAATGAGGATGATCACATCACGGAAAGATTCGCATTTACGTCCTCAGTCCTACATCTAACTGCTAATTAAACACATTTTAGGTCTTTGGTGATTTATTCAAGGATAATTCAATCTAATTATTTTCATTGTGCAAAATGATGAAAAACACTGAGATAAATGGTGAAAGATGAGTTAGATTAAAACCTGCTTTTCTTTTTTCAGCTGTTGCGCCAGATTTCTCTCACAATCAGGTGAGAGGCCAGACGCTGGTGAAGGTCGGAGGAGATGTCCTGATCGAGTGCAAGCCCAAGATGTCTCCATGGGGTGTGATCTCCTGGCGTAAAGGCAGCGAACCCCTCCTGGAGACTAGCAGGTAACTCGCTCTGATCTACCCATCTCTTTTTCTCTTCCTTGTTATTGAATTCAATTCAATTCAAGTTTATTTATAAAGCACCAAATCACGACAAGAGTCGTCTCAAGGACCTTCACATAATAAACATTCCAATCCAGGTCAGTTCATTAAACCAATCAGAAAAAAAGTTTCCTATATAAGGAACCCAGCAAATTGCATCAAGTCACTGACTAGTGTCAGTGACTTTACAGCAATCCTCATACTAAGCAAGCATGCAGCGACAGTGGAGAGGAAAACTCCCTTTTAACAGGAAGAAACCTCCAGAGGATCCTGGCTCAGTATAAGCAGCCATCCTCCACGACCCCATCGTCACCTTATCTGGGTTTTTGCATCCATCTTCAAAGTTTTAGTGGTTTTGTTCTATTGTGGTAACCTGCAGAGTGTGTGTGTGTGTGTGTGTGTGTGTGTGTGTGTGTGTGTGTGTGTGTGTGTGTGTGTGTGTGTGTGTGTGTGTGTGTGTGTGTGTGTGTGTGGTTCTTAACTGCTTTGTGAAGTTTAACCAATAGTCACCTTCCTCTGACCACCACCCATTCAGTCTGACATTTCCCACTGATTGCTCCGACCCAAGCGGAGGAGCCTAGCCAGCAGTGCCAGCTAAACTCCTGCTCCAGTTGTCCAGAGACCAGTGGTCCATAGCGAAGGGCTTGTTACCCTTACACTCCCATAGCGCCTCACAAGGGACACCACAGAGGACATGGCCATAAACACTTTTCTATGTGAAATGGTCAGCCAAAGATCCAGTAACTCTCTAAATTTATAGCCGGGAAAAGGAGCTGGACGGGGTTTTCAGGACAGCCGTAAAACATTTGTCTGGCCACTGGTCCCACTCTGATCCCGCCTTACTAGTGAGGCAGTAAAATGGCTGCTTTATGTCTCATGGAGTCTTTTGGAGCATGTTTCTTTTTAAAAATCAAATTCACATGATAAGACAAATGTCCAACAGGAGTAATAGAATACATTAAATGGTCAAGCAGGTCGCTTTGATGTGTGAATAATGTAGCTTCTGCTTGGACCGCCTAAAGAAAACAAGGAGAGCAATGCATTCCCAATGCAACGGTAAAGTCACGGGTTCTACACCCGGCTACAGCTTCACAGTGTCGAAATTTCATGCTTCCTCTGCTGATGTGTGTTTTTATTCCCGGAACCCATTTTATCACACAGACACCTGTAGAAAGAGAGCAAGCTAAAATCGACTTAAATGAGATGTAAATTCATTTGAACTTCTACGGACGATTCGCTCTTCTCAGAACTCAAGGGCAAAATCAAACTGTGGAATTTTGAACTTTTATGCATAAAGTATTTGATTTTTGGGGGGAATCCTGAAATCTTATCTTAATTTGAAGTAAACTGTTTTATAAAAAGAACTTTTCCGTACAGTTTGCTTTTCTGTTTTTGGGGAAATTCTGATGCACTTCTCAGATGTTCCAACAGCCAGCTGAGAGGGAAGGAAACAGCATGAGACCTGACTGGGCACTGGTTAATGGGGCCTGCTGTGTTTCATCACCAGCCTTTATGTGGGGGCCAAAGCAGAGCAGCTGCTGAGTGAATCCAAAGTGCTAATCAAGTACTTTTCACCTCAGTGGGGAAGACAAAGGCTCCAGAAATCAAATGATTCAACTTCTGACACGTTTCCAAGCTCCGGTGAAGCAGAGGTCGATCTCGGTGTCCATCCCTGTGTGACCCCAAAGATGTGGCATCTGCTACACGTCTTACATTCTGTGTGTGTGTGTGTGTGTGTGTGTGTGTGTGTGTGTGTGTGTGTGTGTGTGTGTGTGTGTGTGTGTGTGTGTGTGTGTGTGTGTGTGTGTGTAGTCTGGCCTCGGAGCCTCTCTGGAGACAGAGGTCACCCTTTGGGTGTCACCACTCTTGCATGGCTCTTCTCTGACAGCAGGCCTGTGTGCACAGCGTCTTGCCAGCCTTTGCATATATACAAAGCCGTGTTGTTGCTTGTCAAACAAAGTGGAGGGGAATTTGCATAGTGGTTTTGCTGCTGGTGCCCTTCACGTGCCCTCTGCCGCTTCAATCACGCACCTCAACCTCACAGCAATCAGACCATTTGAATCTGTTGATTTAGGTTTGTTGGTCCGTCTGATTCGAAAAGTCCTGGGTGTGCCAGAACCTGACAGAGCTGCAGAGTGATTAATGAAATGACCGATCTGTACTGAACAGTGAATTTCAGCGTTGGTGCTGTTCTTAGGGCTGCCTGTGCAAAAGACTCACAGTTTGTAATTATGTTGTAACTGTGGTTTGTTTCCCCATCGGCAGCTTTAAAAAAAGACAAACGTGTAGAAATAGAGTGCTCCTCTCCTGATGAGTGTTGCAAAGCAGTTCTCCACCAGGACAACAGAGGGCGTAGCGCTGTTCTGGGATGCCTTGTCTAAGATGGTGCGTTTACTATTGTGTTTAAATTATAATTTTTTATTTCAGAGACTTTTTAACTGGACATATTTGTCCTTTTATTCTCTTCCACCTTTTCATGTACTGGCCACGTCTAAATCCACATTTCCCATCATTTCTATCTACGAACACGCTACGTATCTTTTTACTCCCCCAGTGACGGGTGAACAAAACGTGGTTCTTTTTTTAACAAACCAAAGTGTTATTTTCACCTTGTTTTTTGTTGACATGTCGACTATCACTGTAGACATCTTCAGAGCTTTAGTGCTGTTGGTGGCGTCACTTCCTTTTCCGTCAGCATCAGCGGGCAGCAGAGGACGATGTCGCCCCCTGCTGCCCGCACCCTCCTCGATGATGACACAGTCCCATGCATGATCCAGTGTGTAACCTCCATCATCCTCTGTTCATAGTTCTGCGCCCACGTCTCCTTATTCCTATGGCTTCCTTTATTCAGCTTTTGTATTTTTGTTGTTCTGTTTGTGATCCGTGTTCTGTCCCAGTCCATTTGTAATGATTTAAATTACCCTTAAATTACTCTTAAGCCATAAGACGTAGGATTCCATAGCAAATATGAAATCCACCTTATGGATCTGTTGGGTTATTTTAACCAGAAGATTGGAACTTTTTAATGTAGGGATTAGAAAGCAGCTTCGTATTCACTCAGAGACAACAGAAGAGAGAGAGTCGAGTTTAAAAGTTTAAGAATTTATTACTAAACAAATTAAACTAGACTAACTTAAACACTAAATGTATGGTGTAACTAAGGTGAATGAGACGGTGAATGGTGTGATGTGGAAGGTTGCTCAGAACCAGCAAATCTGAAGAAGCGATTAGTTCTGATGGGAACTGAAGGTGATGTCTTTGCGTTAAGCTTTGATTAGGAGATTCATAAACACATTCGACGCCATTCTGTCGGTCTACGTACCCTTAGCGGAAGTCCCCGTCTAGATCAGGAGGTGTAAAGGTCCAGCGGGGACCTTTCTGGAGCCGAAGCCTGTAGAAGCAGCCGCGGCAGCCGACCACCAGTCTTGAGATACTCCCGGGTCACGACAGTTTTGTTGGCATCTAGTGAGACCCAAACCTGGGTCGTGATGGTTCAGCTTTTATTCTGAAAGGAACCGTTGCAGCAGTTGGAACCGCAACAGATTTTATCCAGCTTGTCGTTGGTTCTTTCGGTTGAAGAGGAAAGTTACGGATTGGCCAATTTTCTCTTGTGCAGTGGTCTATTACAGCTGATTTCTTTTATTGCACTTTCTGCTTCTTGTTTTGCGGTTCTTGTGTCTTCGATTTGTTTTTTTCTCACTCTTTTATATGTTCTATTGTTCTCATAGAGTCGGCATCCGGTTTATCCTATGTATGTTTTACAGAAAAAGAAAAAAGACAAACAGGACAACACCACACAAAACCCAGGGGTCTTTCACAATGCAAAGTTAAAGTAGAAAAAAGCATGTTAAAAAAGGTTTACACTTTGCAACAACACTGAAAAACCTGCCATATGATGGATTTATTGTAGCAACAGAAAAGGCTTGTCAACAGATTGCAGATGAAGGGGAAAACAGCAGAACTTAGAGATAATGTAGTCGGGATATTAAAGAACAGTAAGATAAAACACAGCAACGTTACAAAAGAAGAAAGAACAGCCATGACAACACTATCCAGAAATGAACACATCATTATTCTACCGGCAGATTAAGGAAGAACGACCATGGTAATGGACAAAGAAAAATATAAACAATAGATGGAGCAGATGTTATAGAACTAAAATACAAAACACTGAAAAAGATCCAACAGAAGACATTAAGAAAAACATGAAAAATTACTGAAACCACTACAGGAAAAAGGCTAAATAACAGAAAAATGTACAAAGACTGGATTCCTACAGCAAACATAATACCAAGAATATACGGAACTCCAAAAATACCCAAACAGAACACTCCGCTTAGACCAACAGTAGACAGTATAGGTACACCAACATACAACATGGCAAAAGAAATCTGCCGAATCATCAGTCTGTTATTAGGTAACACAGATCAACATTGCAAAAATAGCACAGAACTGGTAAAAGAACTAAAACAAATTGCAATAGAAGACAACGACTTACTCATCTCACATGACGTTACATCCCTGTTCAGACACCAAACCAAAAAAACCATAGACATAGTACCGTAATTTCCGGACTTTAGAGCGCACCTCAATATAAGCCGCATCGGGCTAAAAGCCGCAGATATCTACTGAATTGAAAACGTAGTTTGTCAGTGCCACTCTCCGTGTTGCTGTCATCATCCCGGGGTGAAGCAGTGAAAACATGCAGCGCTGTTATACTGTGAAAAATACTCCGGGGCGCTTTCCGTCGCACTCCTTTCCAGCATCCATCCTTTTAAAGCCACGCACCTCATTATAAGTCACGTTCAAAGTGTGGGAAAAAGTAACGGCTTATAGTCCGGAAAATACGGTAGTTAACAGAATCAGACAGGACCAAACTCTACACAAAAGAACAAACCTCACAGACATGGCTCAACTGATAACACTGGTAGCAAAACTCCACATACTTCACATACGACAGA